AGCTTATATACTTTCTCACGTAGTTACATAGATCCATGTCATATAACATATATCTCAAAGTGCATATAATCACATATATCATATCATATAGCTTAGATCATTTCTCAGATATTCATATAAACATACATATCATATCTTGTTCACATATGATCATATATGCTTCATATAACACAAAGAAACACCTAGAACACTTTCTCATAGCTTATATTAATTTTCAGAGTCCTTTATATTACCTGATGACATATATCATATAGATATATAATAACTGATATCATATTATCTACCTTATGCTCCATTTCTTTGTATTCCCTTAGATTATAAATTATGTCATATTTCTAAACATATATCATTTAATAGTATTTTTATTTAGGTACTAATTTAATCTCTTTACTTAATTCAATTTCATATATTCATTATAATCTTTTCATATAGCTTCGTTATACTAATTCTCATAATAAATCATACCACTATGTACTTGTCCAACTCATGTTTCCATTATGCATATACTGTTACCCATGTTTACCTAGTTCATATCATTTCTCATGAACAAACTTTCATCATATTTTCCTATTATTACATATTTTATCTCATAACCACGTATTCACATAGTCTTATATTTCATTATCTTATTACTTATATGTGTTCTCCTATGACTCTTTATAAACATCTATTTCTATTTCCCTACATCTATTTCTATTTCCCTACATCTCTCGACTTATCTTCTATATTCCTATAATTTCATAACTTATTTTATATTCTCTTAATAACACTTAATCGTGTTTTTACATAAACCACATGGCACATACAAAACATATCAATTAAGATAATCAAACATGCATACACTCATATTCAACTCATGCCTTTAATCATGAATTCATATGTAACACTTCAGGAAATAGACTCATCACAAGTCTTATTCCCATCACACACCATATACTATTGAATACGCACTCACCTGGTCTCACTAGTCAATCTCGATCTCTAATCTTTCCCCTGATCGATCTTACTTGCCAAATGTTCCAGAATTGTCTTATGCTCAGAATCTACATAAATGTACATTTTAAGGCAATTATTAGATACCTACACCTTGTAGTTGGATACTATCAACTTAAACGAACTTATTAAACCCATATTTTCAATTTTTCTTTAGGGGGTATCGATTCCCTACTGGGGGTATCGATACCCTCATGACATTTTGGAATTCTGCTCGTTTGAGAGGGTATCGGTACCCCTTTGAATGGGTACCGATTCCCCCTAACCCAGAAATCATTTTTCAGCACGAAAATTACTTCATTTCCTCTCAAACACTTCATATATCATCCCATTTCTTATTCTTAACTTACATATACATGCTTAAACTCATTACTACTCATTCAATACATCTTTAACTTCAAAATCTAATTCTCTACATAGAATTCAAGAATCACACTAATTTTTCTTCTTGTTCTAAATTCAATTCCATCACTTCATATCTCTTAATTCAACCATTGACAAGTCAAATTTATCTTCCAATTTGAGTAAAGAACTCTATTCCAGAATTTCATTCAAAAACTCTTAATCTTTAATCTCTCCTAATTCCACCATCCTTTGTTTTTAAGATGATTTAAGCTTTCCTAAAGCTTAATTATCATCCAATAATCATAACCAAATCCTAAATTCAGCTAAATATCAACTAACAAGAGATTTTACCTTTGCTTATGGCTTCACGGTGGAAAAGGAGAGAACGAAGAAGAAAAGTCTGGAACTCTCTCATATTTTCCCACGTTTTATAATACTCAAAAAGGGAAGATAAAAATCTTTCCCAAGAAAAGACCATTTTGCCCCTTTAGTTCATCCATCCTTGCTATTTAATCCAATATTAAAATTCTTACTTAACTCTCGAGACTTTTAATTTATTTCTAAATTGAGCACAAAACTTTCAAAATTTATAATTAGTCACTAACCTTGACTTGGGATGCTACACTTGTGATGATAAAGGGCATCAGGAAAAATAATTTGTATTACTACCAAGGTAGTACAATTATTGGAGCAGTTGCAGTAGCTTCCAGAGGTGATTATTTGGACGTAACCCAATTGTGGCATATGCGGTTCTGGGAAAGAAGAAGAGAGTGAAGTTTTACACCACTATACATAATATAAAAGGTATTGTGGATTATATTCACTCAGATGTATGGGTTTCTTTAAAGACTTCGTCTTTGGGAGGAAACCATTATTTTATAACATTTGTAGATGACTTTTCCATAAGAGTTTAGGTGTATCCGATGAAGTATAAAGATGAAGGGCTACGAATTTTCCTGAAATGGAAAAATATGATCGAGAACCAGACTGGTAGAAAGATCAAACGTCTTAGGGCGAATAATGGAGGGGAATATAAAAGTGACCATTCTTTGACATTTGCCATGAGTATGGTATTGTTCGACACTTTACTGTTAGAAATACACCACAACATAATGGGGTGGCAGAGCATATGAATGAAACACTATTGGAGAAAGATCGATGTATGTTGTCTAATGTTGGGTTAGGCAAGGCATTTTGGGCTGAGGTTGTGACATATGCTGGCCATCTCATCAATCATCTGCCGTCATCAGCGATAGGAGGAAAAACACCATTGGAGGTATAGCCTGGAAAACATGCTACTGATTATGATTCCTTACATGTATTTGGATCCACTGTTTATTATCATGTGAATGAATCCAAGCTTGATCCGAGAGCAAAGAAGGCTCTCTTTATGGGAATAACCCATGGAGTGAAGGGATTATGCCTTTGGTGTTTAGACACCAAGAAGATAATTTGTAGAAGAGATGTTACATTTGATGAATCTACCCTAGTAAAGAAGATAACAAATGAAGCTGTCCATACAAGTAGTACTCTGCAGCAAGTGGAGCATACTCCAAAATAGGTAGAGTTTCAGCAGACGATGATCTTAGAAGTTGATGTATCTAATTCTTCAACTCCAATAGAAGAATCAAAATATGAAGAGGTTCAAACCCAATAACCATTGGAGACACAATAACCACTTGCAGTTACAAGGCCAATGAGAGAAATTCGTTGACTTGTTCGATTTGTTGATATGGTGGCCTATACGCTTCCAGTTATCGATGATGATATCTCTATCGCTTACCTAGAAGCAATACAAAGCTTGGAAAGTGATAAGTGGAAAAGTGACATGGATGAAGAAATGCAATCTCTTCAAAAGAACAACACTTGGAAACTGGTACAATTACCGAAAGGTAAAAGAGCAATTAGATGCAAATGGGTATTTGCAAAAAAAGATGGATCTCATAGCAAGAAAGATGTTTGCTACAAGGAATGGTTGGTAGCTAAAGGCTACGCTCAAAAGGAGAGAATCGAATACAATGAAGTATTTTCCCCTGTTGTGAAGCATTCCTCCATTAGAATATTATTGGCCTTGGTAGCACAGTTTAATTTAGAGCTAGCTCAACTTGATGTAAAGACGGCTTTCTTGCACGGTGATTTAGAAGAGAAGATATATATGACTCAGCCAGAAGGATACAAAGATGGTGGTTGTGAGAAATGGGTTTGTAAGCTGAACAAATCGCTATATGGATAGAAGCAATCTCTGAGGCAGTGGTACAAGCGATTTGATAGCTTTATGAGGAGGCAAAAGTACACTAGAAACAAATATGATCATTGTGTGCATTTGCAAAAGCTCAAAGATAGATCTTTCATTTATCTTCTCTTGTACGTTGACGATATGTTGATCGCTTCGAAGAGTCAAAAGGAGATAAACAAATTAAAGGCTCAGTTGAATCAAGAGTTTGAGATGAAAGATATAGGTGAGGCTAAGAATATTCTTGGTATGGAGATAAGAAGAGATAGGCAGAGATGGAAGCTTTATTTAACACAGAAGCAGTATCTGAGAAAGATATTACAATGTTTTAGCATGAATGAAAATACCAAACATGTAAGAATCCCACTGGCTTCTCATTTGAAACTTAGTTCTCAATTATCTCCTAAAACTAACAAACAACGAGAGTATAAGACAAAAGTTCCATATGCTAATACAGTTGGGAGCTTGATGTATGCAATGGTGTGTACGCGTCCTTACATTTCACAAGTAGTTGGAGTTGTGAGCAGATACATGCATAATCCTGGAGAATGACATTGGCAAGCTGTGAAATGGATTCTACGGTATCTCCAACAAACCGTAGATGTTGGTTTAGTTTTTGAACATGATGAAGCACTTGGTCAGTGTGTGGCTGGATATGTTGATTCCGACTATGCTGGTGATTTGGATAAGCGCCGATCAACTATTGGGTATATGTTTACTCTTGCTAAAGCCCCAGTAAGTTGGAAGTCTACTTTGCAATCTACGGTGGCTTTGTCTATCACAGAGGCAGAATACATAGCAGTTTCAAAGGTTGTGAAGGAAATAATTTGGCTTAACGGGTTGATGGAAGACTTGGGAGTTGTTCAAAGTCACATTAGTCTCTATTGTCATAGTCAGAGCGCTATTCACTTAGCTAAAAATCAAGTCTATCATTCAAGGACTAAGCATATCGACGTGAGGTATCACTTTGTGCGGGAGATCTTTGAAAAAGAAAATATTTTGCTTCAGAAAATTGTGACAGCAGAAAATCCTGCAGATATGATGACCAAGGTAGTAACAGTAATCAAGTTTAATCATTGTTTGAACTTGATTAACATCCTGAAAGTATGAACACCTTCGGGTGTGTGGCGCTTGTGAGCGCAATTAGAGTCACAACATCAAATTTTGGGAGTTGAAGAAGTTGAGTAGGCTTGGTAAATTTCAAGCCAAGGTGGAGATTTGTTATGCTTGACATGAAATTAAGTTTGGCAAGTTGGAAATTTCATCTTGGTTTGTGGCCAACTTATTGGAAAATTCATATTGGTTGGTGGCCAACTTATTTTTCATCTTTGATCCCTAAAATATTAGGTTATTTATAAGTTTAGTCCTTAAAACGCAACTATAAATATGCCTAAGTATTTCATTAGAAATCATCCCAAAACAAGTTCTCTCTTCATCTTGTTTTCTCTATTCTCTCACTTTGTTGTAATATTTGTTGATAGTGAAGTTATCATCCGGAGTGGTGCCCGAGGAGTAGACGATATTCTCGTAGAACCTCATAAATTTGGTGTGTTCTCTCATTTATTGTTTTTTATTCAGTTTTTCCATTGTGTTTCAATATTCAATAGTTTGACAAGTTTATCCGCTGTGTAACCTTTGGTGGTTTTGATCTTGCCATTTTAGGTCAATTTTGAAACTATGTTCGTGTGGGAAATAACTCGATTTCCCCAACATTGTCAACTTTGCCGAATCTTTCTTTGAGATCTTTCCAAACATTAGCAGCATCAGATGCGAAAACGATTCCAGCTGAGAGCTCTTGACTTACGGTGTTGAGAATCCAAGAAAGGATGATGGCATTGCATCGATCCCACTGAGGATGAACAACCTCGGCATTATCTTCCTGGTGACAAACTCCATCAACAAAAACGAGTTTGTTTTTTGCGAGCAAAACAATGCACATTGATCGACTCCAAACATTGTAATTGTCTAAGCCAGTCAATTGATGAGAGACCAAAACGGTATCCGGAATATCGGACGGATGAAGATAAAGAGGATGATGAAAAGTAATCTCATCCATAGCCAAACGAAGAAGGCAGTCGAAAGAAGAAAATATGAAAAATTGGGAGAAAAGAAAACCTAATCAGGAATTAGAAAAAAACGAAGAGGAGAAGCCCACCTCTACAGGCCGAAAAATCGTCAAAATATCAACTCATATGATACCATGTTAAAAATGCTTTTTCTTGTATTCAATTATCTGTACAATAAGTATAAAATCCTTTATATATAAACAATAATCAACATATCCACCTAAATGCCTAACTGAACCCTAACTAACTTCAACAACCAACCATTTCTACACCACTATAATAATCCTATCGGCTGCCACTTTTTTTATTCAAACTAGAAGGATGAACCACTTTTAACATCCACAACCCAAATGTTAACATCACCAAATATAAAATCTAAAACCATAAAAAAAAAAGCTTTATTACAAGTATAAAACATAAATAATGCAATTCAATCTATAATCTTAACGAGTCAACATTATTACATCAAACTTGTTTTTACAAATTCAATAAGTGATTTCTTCCAAATGGTATAACACTATATCTACACACACAGAGACTAATGAACAATGGCCGTTGCTTTCACTACATTAAACCAAGCCAAATACATATGAAATTAACAAATGGCATCCTGAAATTACGAAAGACTTCATCTTCTAAACCAGAGATTTTGAAGAATTTTTACCCTTAAAAACAACCGAGGACCTTCTTCGGAGTAGTTCCGCTGGTACGGTACTTGGCGGCCGTCTCCTCCGCCTTGAGAAGTTCTTCGCCACGCTTGGCTTCAACGATTGCCTTCTTCTCTTCTGCCTCCTTGTGGATCAAGGCAACGTTGTTTTTCATTTTCTCGACATATTCGGCTCTCTGTTTCTCTATTTTTTCCTGCATAATGTTCATCATATATCTTTATCTGCTTCAAATTACATTTCAAACTCTTTTCTAACCAATACCTCAACCCTTTTCAGCTCAGCTTCCAGAGCAGCTTTCTTGCTATTCTCCCATGCATCGATTGAAGAAAGCTTTTTGTAGGCTCTGCTCAAACAGTTTGAATCAACTCAAAGGTTCAGTAAAAAATGTTTGAAGTTTCGTGATGATTTCTAAGAAGAAAAAGAAAACCCAGGTGAAGAAAGTTGATACTTGTTCTCAGCTTTGGTTTTCTCACTCTCTTCCCAAGCTTTGATCAGTGAAATTCGCTTCTCTGTCTCAACTCTAGCAAGCACAGCATCTGGGGAAGTTTTTCATTGATCAAATGATTTAAGACTCGAGAGAAACGTAAGATAATTGAAAAATTACCTCGACTCACACTACTCTCCGTGCTTTGCTCCTCGGTTGGTTCCGCCGCCTCTGCTAAAAAAACCAAAATTTAAATTAATAGGAAGACGACGACGACAGTAGGGAAAAAACAAAAGGCATATATACTTTCGAGTGCGGTGGATTCTGTTGACTCAGCAGGCTTTTCTATTTCTTCAGTAGGAGGAAGTGTGATTACGGATTTTTCTTCGGCAACGTCTTTGGGGGCTTCAGTCAGTTCGGGAGCGGGAAGTGGCGGCTCCGAGGGGGTGACAGAATCGACCTTCTTGGGTTCTTCTTCCTCGGCCATGTGTTATTGTTTTTGCTAACAAGAATGGAAAACAGAGCAACACGAAACAGAAAGACATGGAGGATTTGAAGAGGAAGCAAAAGGATGATATACTGATGTTCCTTGTTTAATTGAGAGAGATGATCTGGAATGGTAGGTACAAGTGGTGTATGTGCGTTGGCTGAGAGCGACAAGGCCCTGCTTTGAGTGTTTAACCCAAATTCCTTCACTAAATTATCAACAAAATGCTTCCTCTGCTTTTCTTTCTTCAATTCAATCAATGATTCAAAGTTTGCTTTTTTTATATTTTTACACTAATGTTATGTTTCTTGTTTGAATAAATACACCTTCACTCTATGGATAATGTTATTGGATTCCATATCACCTCAGCATCACATCACTCTTTCTTATTCAAATTATTTTTTAATTTTTTGATTCACACTAGAGATTTTGAGTTGAGCAATAATGATGTATTTTATTACTTTTATTCGTTTATGCAATCGAACAAGGGAGAGAAATACATTTGGATTAGGGTTATTGAAGGGTTAGGTAAACACTCCTTAGTTTTGCAGTAACGTGTTTTACCATTACATTTGCATTGAAAAGGAAAACAACAAGTTGTTATTGATTGGATCGTGATCTATAATTCATACCATATTTATGTATTAATTATTATTAATAAAATCATCTTTTGTCGTTAAGCAAAATTAATAGATGTGAGGGCGACTACAGCAGTTTGATAAGCATGGGGATAGGGTTTAGGTTTGATATCCACAGATTCTTTGCTGATTCAATTTGTTGCATTTGTACACGGAATCTTGGTGGGCCACATAATCTAGCGAATTATTTTCTAGGTAAATACAACTTTTTGATATTTAATTTAGTATTTTCGTCTTCAAGCTTCCGTGGCCATTGTTGAAGCTTCAATAACACTATTTAATATTTTTATCATTTCATATAAAAAAATTCTTAGTACAATATTTATCTTAGTAAAAACAGATATTCAAAATCTTTGTAAAAGAGTAATCCTAGTAAAAAAAACTCTCTTTGTTTTTTATTTTCTACTTTTTTTTTTGTATGCTCCGATTGTTTGAGTTTTTATTCACGAAATCAACGCGCATCTGATTTACTCACGAAAAATTATCCTTATTTACTTAATATAATTAAATAAATTTAATAAATATTTAAAAAATCAATTACAAATTCTCAAAATAATATGTACAAATTCTTATAAAATTATTACAGGAATCCTCTTTGTAGGCGTAAAAAAATCTTTCACTTGAATCTTACTTTTCATCACGTTGTTGATGAACGCAAGTCTCAAAAGTAATATGTTGATGCTTGGATGCATGTAGGGGTGTTTATTCAGCGAGTCAATTGCGAATGTGACAGTATTTAACTCTATTCGTTACTCGTTAAGTTCGTTAAAATATGTTCGATTCATGCTCATTAAAAAATTTATTACTCGACTTGTTGCTCGTTAAATTCATTAAAATTTTGCTCGACTCGTACTCGTTAAAAAAATTTGTTGGTAGAATCTTTACACGTTAAGCTCACCAAATTTTTTATTTTATTTTTTAACTATGATTAAAATCTACTAATATATACAGAACTTATTATAAAACATAAAATAATAAATTTAACCCAAAAATTATAAAAAGAGTATATGAAACAAATTCAAAGTCTAAACATCAAAATAACAATTCATAAATACATTAAAAAAATAATTAGGGTTTAATTTTTTGGTGTAGTAAAATAATAATTAGTAATTTAATATATTTAATTATTTGTTAGAAAATTAATATATTATTAATATATTATTTTTTATTATCTATTAGTAAATTAGTAATTTTTGAATAAAATAGTTTTTTAAGATAACTATTAAAAATTAATAAAAAAATTAACGAGTTGCTCACGAACTTATCGAGTCAAATTGTACTTTGCTCAATTTAACTCGTTAACGTCTCAATTCGAGTTTAAATTTAAGTCGAACTTTTATCGAGTTTAGACAAAATCAAATTCAAACTTCTAACAAATACTCATATCATTAAGCACCTCTAGTCTCTAGATGTAAGAATGCACAGGAAGTTTGTAAATATAATAATATCATAGACCCTACATTTTGTTCAGTCCAAATCCTTAGGTCCAATCCAAAAAAAAAAAATTGGTTAACCTAAAAATTGACCCAGAACACCTAAACCATATTTGAGGTAGTTGAAAAAAAGAGAAATAAAGATGAGAATGTATATATATGGGTTAAATATGATGTATTTAAAATTCAAAAAATAACATCGTATTAGGAGGCCAGTCGAAATCTCAAAATGACGTAGTTTTAAAGGCGCACGACTCATAACCCTACACGTCTGACCCGATCTCCGCCTTTGGATCCCCACCTTTCTTTAATTGTTGGGTACATCACATTTTTTTCACTCTGCTCTTTCATATATACGTAGATAAAAGAATTAATTTTTTTTAATAAATTACACTGTTCTGAACTTTTCTTCTTTACATCATTTTTCATTGAATTTTATTCTTTATCTTACTTTCTTCACATGATCTTTTATTTTATTTTTTTTAATTTACTCATTGAATTTTAACATTGTTAACGTTTTGATAATCACATTGTTATTTATTGTTAAATAATTAATAATGTTATGACATGACACATCAAAACGGTGTCATTATATATATATATATAAAAACCCAAAATTTCATTATTTTCCTCTCTTCTTTTTATTTATTCCATTTTCTCTCAACTTGCTCGAATTTCGACTATCGTTTTTAATTAATTATTCATTTAATTTGTATTATTTGTGCAAGTGTTGATTCAGGCGATGATATGTGAAAGGAAACATTGTCGTTTTCAACTGCCTAGAACTAAATTAGCGGAGCGGATTTTGTAGATACGGCGTTAGCACGTGAAAGCGAAATCTTTTCCCGTGATTCTTGTAAAATATATATTTAAAAATTTTCATGTTATTTATATTTTTTTTTGTTTCATCTTTTGTGGACATCAGACGGTGTTTCATGGTGTATGTTTTTCGTTAACGATATTGTCCTAGTTGCTGAAACAAAAGTTGAGCTAAATAGTAGACTAACTACCTAGAAGACTGCTTTGGAAGAAAAAGATCTAAGGATCAAAATTGAAAAGACAAAGTATTTATGTTCAAACTTCAGTGGGAACCAAAACGATGAAGATGTAGAAGTATGCATAGAATGACACGTTCTCCCCTCAAAGGATTGTTTCAAGTACCTAGGGTCTATGATACATAAAGATGGGGGTGTAGATGATGACGTTACACACCGTATAAAGACAGGATGGCTAAAGTGGAGGACTACTACTGGAGTTTTGTGTGACAAGAAGGTGCCTCTAAAACTTAAGGGAAAATTTTATAGAATAGCAATAAGACCAGCGCTGTTGTATGGATCAGAATGTTGGGCAATCAAGAATGATCACGTAAGGAGGATGGAGACCGCATAAATGAGAATGCTTCGATGAGCATATGGTAGGAATATGTGGGACATGACACCAAACTCTGCTATTAGGATGTCCTTGGGGGTGGTGCCTGTATCCGTAAAATTGAGGGAGGGAAGACTACGGTGGTTTAGGCATGTCCTTAGGATACAACTGTCGGATGCGGTAAGGAGGGTAGAGTCGATTACAGTCGACGGTGCCAGAAGGAGAGGACGACCAAGGCGGAAGTGGGAAGACTGCTTGAGATCTGATTTGAAGGATTTAGCCCTTACCGAGTGTCGTAACCGTCTTTCGGTTGGGCTCGGAACTTGGGCTTCGACTTGAAAAATGTGGATTGGAGTCGCCACCGACCATTTTGAAATGAATTTAGGTAGGTCGGACACCATCTTACCTGATCTGCGTTGTACCAGAAACGTGTCGGGTTCGGGAGTCGGTTACGGTTAAGGAAGGATTAGCACCCTTGAACCGCCCTTTCGGTACCAATTAATTTTCCGGTTGTCTTTATTTGCGAAAATTAAAGATTTAAATTGAAATTCAAAAATTCAATCCAAATTAATTACCTTTGATCGATTGAAAGTATCCCTAAAAGAGCCAAAAATGTTAGATAATAAATAATAAATAAATATTAAATAGACCAAAACAACAAAAAACAACAAAATATAATAAATAAAATAAAATAAAATTTAAAAAGTAATAAAATAAATGAAATAAATATATATAAAAACCATAATAGATGAAGGATCATATGGTGAATTTACCCAAAGTTTAAACCCACTTGGGTTTTTAATCTCACGCAAAAAGCCAAAATAAATGTCTTTAAATTCATTTGCCAGATATGTCAAACGTGGGCTCCTCTTTGGTGTGTTTCATCGTGTTGTCTCATGCTTTATCTCCTTCTTCTTTTTCATTTTCTTCCTCGTTGGATTCGGGACTACGCAGCATAGGCTAGCCAGAGCCGAGACAATCAACACGACCATTCAGACGCCACGATATCCATCACGGAATAGTGAGGACGGTTCACCGTTCTCTTCACCACGGAGGGGAACTCCGAGATGCGAACTCTCCGTCGGCCAGGACCTCACTCTCGCCGGAACCCGCCAAAGATCGATCCGTAGTCACTACGCCGGCATAGTCCCCGAAGTTCTCAAGGCCATCGTTCTCGTTCTCTTCCTCTTCATCTTCCTCTAGAACCACGTCCTTATCTTCCAACCGGTGCTTCGATCTTCGCTCTCGTTTCTACCGCTTCCATTGACCTCGACCATATGTGAACTTCTAGTTAAAACTCCGTAACAGTAGTCGATGTTCATGTTGTGGGTGATTTGTTGCCAACACTAATTCCGTATGATTCTTTATTGCAGGTACCTGGACGTGCCATATCAAGCGGAGGAGTGTTAACGATTCCATGATTGTTATGAATCTGTGGTTGTAGCACGAACGGCTTCAATGACATAGGGTGTGAGGTGCTTCAGATATCATGGTTTCATAGCTCCTCCGCCCAAGGTTATATCTCCTCCTTGTTCATGAAGTTCGTTTTGCTTTTGGCATTAGAATATTGGTGTCATTCTCCAGGCAAAACTCCATGGGGACCAAGATTTTTTGGAAGTAAAAAAAGAGAGAGAGAC